CAATAGATAATAAAGGTTGGTGAAGATGTAAAGATATTCACAGTCTTGTACACTGTTCATGGGATTGTAAAATGGAACAGCTGCTACCAACAACAGTATGGAGGTTCCTCAAAAAATTAAAAATAGGACTATTATAGGATCCAACAACTCCACTTCTGGGTATTTATCCAAAAGAACTGAAATCAGGATCTTGAAGAGACATCAGTACCTCCATGTTCACTGCATCATTTTTCATAATAGCCGAGATGTAGATACAACCTACATGCCCATCAACAGATATATGGATAAAGAAAACATGGTATATGTATAATGGAATATTATTCAGCCTTAAAAAAGGAAAGCCCTCCATATACAACATGGATAATCCTCAAGCACGTTATGCAAAGTGAAATAAACCAGTCACAGAAGGACAGATACTGCATGATTCCACTTCTATGAGGAACCTAAAATAGTCAAACTCACAAAAGCAAAGAGTAGAATGGTGATTGCCAGGGGCTGGAGGAAGGGAGAAATGGGGAGTTGATATTAATGAAGTTTTAGGGCACCTGGGTGGCTCAGTCAGTTAAGTGTCCAACTCTTGAATTTGGCTCAAATCATGATCTCAGGGTTGTGAGATCAAGCCCCACATCAGGCTCCATGCTGGGAGACTCTCTCCCTCTCCCTTTGCCCACCCCCCTCAAATAAATAAATAAATAAATAAATAAATAAATAAATAAATAAATAAATAAATAAGTTTCAGTAATGCAAGATGAATAAAGTTCAAGGGATCTGTTGTACAATTTGCGCCTAAAGTTAAAAATACTGTGTTATACATTAAAAGATTTAAGAAAATAGACTGTATCTTGTATTCTTACCACAATAAAAAAAATATGAATCAACCAATTTTTTTAAAATAATGGTGTATTTTATAAAAGATAGTGACTTAGATTCAATGACACATTGTTAAGTATTGAACCACTACTCTGAGCCAAGAAGTATGCTAACTGCCTTCCATATGTCGACTCATTCAGTACTCACAGATATTAAGGTAGATATTCTTGGTTTACAAATAACCCTTGCCAAGTCACAGCCAGTGAGCGAAAGAGTCTGCACAAGAACCCCTGTATATACTCTACTGCCTTCCAAGCTAGACAAATTTCCATGGGGCCAGAACATTAGTCAGAGTTTGCATAGCTAGCTCCTGCCACACTACTCTCTTCCCCACTCCCCACTCATTCCTTCCCACCCAGTGATGAGAACAAGATGCTGGAGTTTATCCCTGAGGCTAATGATCAAATTGCCTCTCTGGCCTTGGGAGAGCCCTATCTTGACCATAACTATCTTCCCTCTGCCTTTCAATTATTACCTTCCAAGAACTATAAACATAAAATGTAGGCCAGGTCTCTAAATCTTCTGCAACAGCCTAAAGCACCAGTTTTTTTTTTAGTTTGGCCAAACAATTGCAAAATTCTGTGCACCACATTTCTTCTGACTTGGTCACCCAACTCTGCCATGTGTTTCCATTGTCAACCTCAAATCAACAGCCCCAGGAGAAACAAGAGTGAAGCAATCACACAAAGTCCCAGGGATGGAAGGAACCGGAGACTTGCTCTATTATCCTCAGGTTATGGGGGCTGATAATTGTTAGTCCTTAAACTTCAGAGGATATAACATGACAAACTGGGCATCCAAATTTAAAAGCTGCACTCACTGGATGTCATGAACTAGAAACCTAAATTTATCTTTAGCCATGTGAAACTATCTTCAGTTGATGCAAGATGTGCAAAGGAGGCAATATGCAAGGGGAAGGGAAAAAGACCTTAATTTTACAATTTTAGCTTTACCCACCCAATGCATTCTTAACACAACCAAATCAATGAAATGTGATCCTATTCCAACTTCCATATCACCAATTTAAAAAAGGAGAAAGGTGGACAATCCCAAAGAGATTGAATTTCTTTTCCGAAATGACAGTCAGGCAGCTTTCAGGATTTCAACTTAAAGTAGAATCTAGGTCTCCAAATGTCTAGACATGGAAGTAACACTTAACGATGACAAACCAACTCACTAAATAACATATTGACCAAAAATAAAGTCAAAACAACATATGATAACTAATACTACTTTGGGAAAATAAAAATGAAACAATGAATTATCTATTTTAGACTTCTGTTTGTTCAAATACCACAATTTTCTATAGACATAAGGCCATACTTAATTTGTGCACAAGCTAATTCCTAAATATTATGCATAGAGATTTTCATGTGCCACCAATATTAAATTAAAAATTAACTCATATTGGGGCACCTGGGTGGCTCAGTCGGTTAAGTGTCTGACTCTTGGTCTTGGCTCAGGTCGTGTTCTCAGGGTCATGTGATCGAGCCTCCATGCTCAGTGTGGAGTCTGCTTATCCCTCTCTCTCTGCTCCTCCCCCAGCTTGCTGGCGCACACTGTCTCTCTCTCTCTCTCTCTCTCTCTCTCTCTCAATTAATAAATAAATAAAATCTTTTTAAAAAATTAACTCATATTTTATATTATACTCATCTCTTCAAAAGTGAAAGAATGAAAATCAATTTTTTGCCAATTATAATTAGTATGGTTAAGGTTCAACATTGATTTGTGTTTGGACTTCACCTGATAGGTCAGTGGCACACAATTATTTTTTCCACTGATGCAAAGAAATGGACAGAAGCCACAAATATGAAAATGGTACCAAGAGGTCAAGTCTGAGCAAAGAATAGGATAGTGATGGCAATAAAAGAGAGAGGGAACACAGGAGAAATTTGGTAGCCAAAGGATGGGAATAATGAATAAGGTATTTCGTTGAGCCTGCTGAATCTGATATGCACAGATGATACCCAGAGGGACATGTCCAACAGGAAATCAGAAAAAACTCATGTGGCCCTCGAAAGAAAAGTCCAGAAGAGATAGACATGGAAGCAAATACCATAAGAGATTACTGCTAAGATCTTGAGAACAGCAATAACACCAAATCACCATGAGAAAGCATATAGTGAAATGAAGAAAAGCTAAGAGAGGCCCAACCCTGGAGTTGGTAGCAATGGGAAGAGTCTGTGAAGAAGGCCAGGATGGAGCAGATCAGAGGAGCAGGACAAACCAAGAGAGTTCCAGGATCTATGCTATAATAGAAAGGAGAGAGACACCTGTATCAGAGATCACGGAGTCAAGAGCAAGCAGGAAAATAGGGCTGGGTTGGATTGGATGGTTTGTTAGTATAGTGATACAGAAACCAATGCGGCAAGAAACTGAAGAAAGGAAGGAAAGGCAGCCATATCCATCCTCCTGATAAAGCCTGATGATATGAAGGAGAAAGGCCTAGGACTGTAATTTGAGAGATAACACAGCAAAGGGGATGAACCAATATTATTTTGTCAACCACGCATACCACCACATTGAGAGAAAAGGCTTCAAGTACACCTGGCACAAGCATATGAAAACCTGGATCCAGACAACAACCATTCTGCCCATTAGCTGCCCCCAACACACACACACACAAAATTTCTAAATGAGAATGACTTCCTTTTTTTTTTTTTTTTTTTAAAGATTTTATTTATTTATTTGACAGAGACAGAGACAGTGAGAACAGGAACACAAGCAGGGGGAGTGGGAGAGGGAGAAGCAGGCCTCCTGCCGAGCCGGAAGCCCGATGTGGGACTCGATCCCAGGACCCTGGGATCATGACCTGAGCCAGAGGCAGTCGCTTAACCAACTGAGCCACCCAGGCGCCCTTTTTTTTTTTGGTAGTAATGTGATTTGGGTTTTTTTTATTATTCTTTTTATTATTTTTTTATTATGTTCCATTAGCCATGTAAAATGGCTATATCATAAGTTTTTGTTGTAGTGTTCAACGATTCACTAGTTGTGTATAACACCCACTGCTCATCCCAACATGTGCTCTCCTTAACCCACCAACCAGTTACCCCATCCCCTTACCCCCCTCCCTTCTGTAACCCTCAGTTTGTTTCCCGGAGTCCAGAGTCTCTCATGTCTCTCTCTCTGATTTCTTCCCATTCAGTTTTCCCTCCCTTCCCCTGTGGTCCTCCACTCTATTCCTTATGTTCCACATATGAGTGAAACCATAGGATAATTGTCTTTCTCTGCTTGACTTATTTCACTTAGCATAATCCCGTCCAGTTCCATCCATGTCAATGCAAATGGCAGCAATGTCCACAATAGCCAAACTGTGGAAGGAGCCGAGATGCCCTCAACAGATGAATGGATAAAGATGTGGTACATATATACAACAGAATATTACTCAGCCATCAGAAAGGATGAATGATAATGACTTCTAACACAGATACAAAAAGAGGACCTACATTTAATTAAAAGTGTAGTTATAGGAGTAGATGTCATAATATATACAATTTGAGGGCGCCTGGGTGGCTCAGTCGCTTAAGCATCTGACTTCGGCTCAGGTCATCATCTCAGGTTCCTGGGATAGGAACACGGGGGCTCTCTGTGCAATGGGGTCTTCTTCTCCTTCTCTCTCTGCCCCTCCCCATGCTTATGCACTCTCCCTCTCTCTCTCTCTCTCAAATAAATAGTTTAAATATATATATATGTATGTGTGTGTATGTGTGTGTATATATATATATATACATTTTGAAATATACCTTATATTTTCTGCCCCAACATTTTACTCAAGAGATTACCTAACTTTTTGAAATACCTTATTACTTTTATATCTTTTGTAATCTAAATTTGGCACTATCATGAGTCACTAGAGGAAAAAAAACATCAAAAATATAACTGTTATAGTTAACTCCAGAGTTGTAATGAAATGTTAGCAAAACATTTACACTGAGATACTTATATTGTGAAACAATCCTTAAAAGCTCCTACATATCAAAGATCTTTCATGCATAAATGCTCTTGTCTATGCAGTGTCTCAGCACATGCTTTATGTTTACATAAAAATATTGTTTTCAATCATTAAATGACCTACAATGTTGCAGTTATGAAAAATGGTCATGAAAGCAGCAAATACCTGAGGTACTCACAGCTGTGGAGTAGGGATTATGAGCTCCAGTATTTTCAGCCCAGCAGCCACATCCATAAAGAGCAGCCTGGGAAAAGAGAAAACAGATACACAATGTATTTCAGAAATATTATATGTAATTGCTTGCTTTCAAAAGAAGACAAAATCATACCCATCTAATAAAGCCTGACTTAATAATGATGCATACCAACTGGGAAATAATACCAGAGACTGTGTAAGACCTACCCAAACAATGGTTCTAACACCATTTTAAACTATATTTTCAACTACTGTATTAACAGCAAATAGCAATTTTCTATTATATAGAAAATAGCAAAAGAAAGTTTCCTAGACTCTCACCAACAGTTTTTTTCTATTAACAGAAAATAGCAAAAGAAAGTTTCTTAGACTCTCATCAACAGTAGTTTTTTCCTTCCTTGAACAACCTTTCCCCTATTGTAGTTTGTCAGTCAGTTCGGAAAAACTCCATCTCTTCTGGCTCCTTGAAATCATTGTGGTTGCCTTAAAATAGTGATTCTCAAACCAGGTATATGTCAAATTGCTTGAGAAGCTTGGTGATAGGACCGTGGTTCCCAGATATTCTGATTCAGTAGTCTGGGGGTTGCCCAAGGAATTGGCATTATTAACCAGGGCCCCAGGGGGGCTGGGATACAGGTGGTCCTCCTGGCATACTCTAAGAAACCCTGTTTAGAAGAGCTTCTGCCATGCCTCCCTTAAAATGGCACAAAAGGAACTGCAAACAGTTACTACCGAAGAGCCCAGCATATGCTCACCACCGTGCCAGATTCTCCAGCTATAAAGAAAGGAGCCAAAAAAATCAATTCAAGCTAATTACTTTATGAGACAGTAGAACAGATTTATATGCCTGAAACCACCAAGAACACAAATTACTATGGTTTTATAAAAGAATATAACAATCATCCCTATTTTGTTTTTAATAATGCCACCCAGAATGCCTGGATTCATCTCTTCAATATCCACAATGACTTCTCTGCCTTTGGGAGGGGAACCGAAACTGATAACTTTTCCAGTTCTAAGTTAGAAGCAGAATTAGAAAAACCCTTTGATAGCTAGCATAGAGAAATACAAGGAAGTCTGCTCAAGAATATTCACCACCACAAGTTTGGTGAGAATGGAAAACTGAAAGCACAGATGTCCATCAGTAAATAAAAGGCTAAACACTGACCCAGCAAAATGTGGAATTCATTGCAGAGGTTCAAAATAAAGAATTAATTTTTTTAAAAAGATCTCCAAACATATTATTGAGTAAAAAAAGAAGAAGAAGAAGAAGAAAGAAGAAAGAAGAAAGAAGAAGAAGAAAAGAAGAAGAAGAAGAAGAAGAAGAAGAAGAAGAAGAAGAAGAAGAAGGAAGAAGAAGAAGAAGGAAGAAGGAAGAAGAAGAAGAAGAAGAAGAAGAAGAAGAAGAAGAAGAAGAAGAAGAAGAAGAAGAAGAAGAAGAAGAAGAAGAAAGAAGAAGAAGAAAGAAGAAGAAGAAGAAGAAGAAGAAGAAGACGACGACGACGACGAAGATGACGACAAGCTACAATACACTAAGTATTCAGTATGACTTCTGACTGATGAAGGAAAAAGATATTCCCATAAAACAGTAACTGTTCTTTTCTAGGAGGTCACTTTTAAGGACTGGGGGAAGAAGTTAAGACTGGGAATGGTGACCAGACAGACCAGCTTTCTAGAGTATTCCATTCTTTTTTATAAGGACTTCAGAACTCATTTGCTTCAATATTTTACCCAGAGCAGGAATTTCCATGAAATATCCCAGACACTTCTGATACCAAGAACCTCGATACCTCATGAGGGAACATATTCCCCTTTTGGACACTTGCCTTTGGCTAAAAGTTCTTCCTTAGATTTTTTTAACAAACATCTGCTTTATCATAACTTCCACCCACTAATCCTGGTTCTACTCTCTGGAATTACTTTACCCTCCCTGCTGAAGTTCTCTAAATTTTTTAAAACAGCTATCCGAGTGCCCTGATTACTCTTTTCTCACTCAGATAATCCTAGATTTGTGAACTGTTCCTCAAGACTTTGAGATGCACACACACACCCTACTTCCCCAATCACCCTCCTTGAGAAATAATCCAAAGTTCAGGATAATTGGAGATGAAGTATTCCATGCTCATGTGACCCAGAGTTGCCATCCCCAGTTGTCACTGACAATAGCTTTCTTATAAGTAGAACCAAGAACTCAGTACAACATTCCCAATATGGCAAACAGTAGAAAATCTATTACAGCCTTTGAAAACACCATGCTTCTAAAATACACAAGATTGTTGTGTCAGAGTGGGAACTGAAAGCCCTACAGAAGGGATTCAGCACATGGATTTCATGACCACACTGGCAAACTTGTGGGATATGCCATTCAACTGGTACTACCTGAGACAGGTGCTAGGTGAGCCAAAGCCTCAGAGAACATGCAACCTGAGGGGAAGGGCCTATTCTTCCTTCACTGAAAACCCTGGACATTAGTCCACTGTCCTTTCCATTCCCCACAATTATCTTGACCAGGAGCCTGCACCCAAAAATAGCAAATAGGACTACAAGGACACCTCTAAGAAACCTAAAGGAGGTCATTTTTTCTTTTTTTTTTTTTTAGAAAAGAAAGAAGACTTACTCTTTGTTTCTTCTCTCTAAGCAAATTCCCCTTATACTACTTCTCCTCAATTTCATGTTCTAAAGTTGTCTTCCTTCTTAATCTTCTGAAATCAGTTGAGCTGAGACAGTGATACGCCAGATAAAAGAAGATGTCCCTCTCTTATCATTTCTTTGGATAAAACATAACAAGCTTGGGGCGCCTAGGTAGCGCAGTCAGTTAAGCATCCGACTCTTGATTTTGGCTCAGGTCATGATCTCAGGATGGTGAGACAGAGCCCTCCGTCAGGCTCTGTGCTCAGCAAGGAGTCTGCTTCTCTCTTTCCCTCTGCCCCTCCTCCCGTTCTCTCTCTCTAAAATAAATAAATAAGTCTTTTTAAAAAAATAACAACCTTAAGCAGACCTTAAAAAACAAAAATAAGGGCGCCTGGGTGGCTCAGCTGGTTAAGCGACTGCCTTCGGCTCAGGTCATGATCCTGGAGTCCCGGGATCGAGTCCCGCATCGGGCTCCCTGCTCAGCGGGGAGTCTGCTTCTCCCTCTGACCCTCCTCCCTCTCATGCTCTCTGTCTCTCATTCTCTCTGTCTCAAATAAATAAATAAAATCTTTAAAAAAAAACAAAAACAAAAATAAAAATAAGCTTCCTTCTTTTCAGTAGTAAAACTTCATTAACATTTAACAAAGGTATTAACATTCAGTAAAAATAGATTATATAAATATTATTATTATTATCATTATTTAATCTTCTTTGGGACTTGTTTTCCTTTATAAAATGAGCATAACAAAAACCCCCACCTCATAATGTTGCTGTAGGATCACATGAATGAACACATTTGCTGCACATAGCAAGAGATTAATAAACAGTAGTTATAGCTAATAATATAGCTATATTATGAGGAACTGTGACTAGCAATTTAAATATACTACATCATTTAATCTTCTAAGGTAACTATTTATACCCATTTTACAGTTGTGGAAAGTGGAGCTTAAAGACATTGAACAACTTGTTTACAGTAAGGGAGAGGTTAGATTAGACTAAAGGTCTACCTGAATCCAAAGTTCACACTCTTAACCACTAAACTCAACTGTGTACTTATGTGGGGCTGAGTTGCAGGTAGAGGGAGAGTGGAATGTAATAATTCCTTTCTCATGTCCCAGTTGTAAATTCTAACTATTGTTGGTAAGCCAAGAAAATAAATTCTAATTCAAATGCCACTTCACCATCTGAACAGTTGTTATTATATGTCTAGAGCAGAGTAATATGCTAAGACTTTTTAACATTTCACTTGTGCATTTAAAATGTATTTAAAAGCATCTAATTTTAGCATATTTTTTAAAAAGTCATTTAAAAAGTCATTATTTTCAATATTTTGTATATTTTGTTTTCTTCCCTCTTGATCATCAAGAAGAATGGTTTCTTACTGTCAACTGATGCTTTCATATTTCTAGGCTTATTACATCTCCTCTATCCAAGCAATATAATCCAATTAAGCAAATGCATTTTCCTGGTAAGTACCTTTACTCCTATCCACCACGCCCTTTCCTGATTTTTATCTCTCACAAACTGTGTCTTCATAAACTAGCTAAGAGGGGCAAAATCAGTATGTTTAAGTTTTACAGAAGTATTTCTTTTTCCAGGACAGTCCCACGTGGAATGGCTTCAAGATTGTTCAACGTAATATCCTGCTAACATAGTCCAGAACTATCCTTGGTTCTGTTGTTGCTATTTTACTAACCAAAACAAACAAAAAAAAACCAGTGAGAAAGTCATGGGAATTGCAAGTCAACGAAGGCGGCTATGCTGGTTTTTCTCTCTCCTTCTCTACCAAGGCATCCAAATCTGATATGCCAAGCTTGGTTCTTATTCCAAACTTAACAAATACACAGGGCTTTATAATGTGGAAAAACACCATGACCAGACAAAGGCTTTTTATAATGACTTCAAAGCATTGTACACATGTTGAGTAATCATTCCCCATAAATCCCCCTGTATGGCAGGCAAAGAGTAGCACAAAATTAATTATTCTTCCCTACCCCATCCCCCCATGGCATTGTGAGAGGCTTATACACTATAAAGGGCAGATCAGGGAATATCACTTGGAGCTTTGCAAAGATGTCCTCCATGAATCAGATTACTCTGCTCCAAGCATTCATTAACCACTATGTCCAAGGTAACTGTGATACCCACTTTTTTTCAAATGTGAGGGACAAAGTATACAGAGTACGCCAAGCAGTGCTCTGCACGTAACACGAGAGCTAAGTACTCAGCTTAAGCACAACCCTTGCAACTACTTTACAGACTCCAGGAATCATTAGTTCACTCAACAAATATTTATTAATCCCATAAGTAATGTACCAAATTGGTTTGTGCTCAGAAAGCTTACTAGATCAAATGGATTGTGAAATATTCTCAGTACAAAACTAAAGTTTGGAGATGGGGGAAGGAGGAGTGGTGAAGATGAGCAAGTGAACTGGGAATATGCCAGTTACACATAAATTAGATTACGTGCGTGGTATCATCATGTCTTGGTGACCTGAAATACTGGTTAGTCTATAAAATAGCTAAAATGCTTAATCAGAAGAGGGATTTAGAGCGTCAAAATTTCTATTCCTTGAATGGAGGAAATACACAATGTAACTCTAAAATCATTTCCCACTTAAAAAGCAAGCAACAATATAGTCAGATAGTGTTTACTCCTAAAGAGAATGACATTTGCAAAGAAAGAAAATGAAGATCAACTCATTTTTTTTTAATGTCTACTAAATACCCAACACTCAGCCTGTTGGAAGTAACAAAACATAGTATTACTGATTTTAAAGATCAATAAGAACTCTATTACTATGGGGGCGCCTGGGTGGCTCAGTCGTTAAGCGTCTGCCTTCGGCTCAGGTCATGATCCCAGAGTCCTGGGATCGAGTCCCATATCGGGCTCCCTGCTCCGCAGGAAGCCTGCTTCTCCCTCTACCACTCCCCCTGCTTGTGTTCCTGCTCTCACTGTGTCTCTCTGTCAAATAAATAAATAAAATCTTAAAAAAAAAAAAAAAAGAACTCTATTACTATGAGAGAGGTTTTTTAGAATCTGGAAAAGGTACCTGCTCACTTGTACTACGTCAATGTTAAAAAAAAAATTCACAGTAATTTTTTTTTTTTTTCAAAAGAAAAAATGTTTTGCTGGCTTAAAAAAATGGTGAGCTAGAAAATTCCGTGTTTTAAATTGAAAAGCAAGTTTAAAAACCCCATAATTACTTACCTGTCCAACTCTCCCTGGATGTTTCAAGGCCAAGCCTCCACTGGAGACAGCAGCAGCAACATTCCCTTCGTGGTCCACCACTACAGCGCCCACTGTGTCCAAAGTGCCTGAGTCATTCTCCTGGAGAGCGAACAGGGCATGAGCACTCACTGAGCACGGGGTGTCACAATTCGATATGACCACATAGCACTTCTCAATACATACATAATTCACAATTCATAAATCATACATAATTCAGCAAACTCCTAAAACCATCTATTATCCAGTTGCCACTAAAACCCTGTTCAAGTCAAAATGTATTTTCTACCTAAAAATCCTGAGCAAAAGGTGTCTTATTGCTTTTCTCTAATAATAAGCCTAGCATGCCTAAGAGAGAAAGAAAAAACACCATCTAATATAAAATAGTGTAGCACAGTGTCCCCTTAATCTCCAGTTTTAAGTTCATGATTGAAAATCTGTAAGAGTGAAAAGATCTATGGCATAAGTGAGCCAATAAATGCAATTATTAGTATTTTTAAAAATATTATATACAAATTTCTAAAAGTAATATACTCAGCACAATAAAGAGAATGGCCGTCACAATCTTGAAAGTATACTATGCTATAATTTTCTTTTACAATTCCTTGCTTGTGAGAAATTGATGGCCACCTCCTTTCTCTGCCGTATTAATAATGAGCTTGCCAACTATATAACAGAAAACTATACATTCCTGGGAGGCATCTTTGTGTTTCTGTGTCTTGTCCCAAGTCCCACAAACTTAAGGCTTTTCACACGTATTGACTATAAGCAGCTGTCTCCTACCTCAAAGATTTCTGGGTCACCTGTGCAAGACAATCAAACCTTACAATCCTGGATAAAAATCAGAATTAAAGAAAACAGGAAAAAGTTTCATAAAAAAACATCTCCTTGTGTATATTAACAAGGGAGGCTACTGCAGGTCTTTAGGTTAACAGAAGTCATTGCAGTGTTCTCACTCTAGAATACTGGTTTTTATTTTTTTTTATTTTTTTAAATTTTATTTTATTATGTTATGTTAGTCACCATACATCATTAGTTTTTGATGTAGTGATCCACAATTTATTGTTTTCATATAATACCCAGTGCTCCATGCAGTATGTGCCCTCCTTAATATCAATCACCAGGCTAACCCATCCCCCCACTGCCCTCCCCTCTAAAACCCTCAGTTTGCTTCTCAGAGTCCATACTCTTTCATGGTTCATCTCTCCCTCAGATTTCCCTCCCTTCATTTTTCCCTTCCTTCCCCTAATGTCCTCCAAGCTATTCCTTATGTTCCACAAATAAGTGAAACCATATGATAATTGACTTTCTCTGCTTGACTTATTTCACTTAGCATAATCTCCTCCAGTCCCATCCATGTTGATGTAAAAGTTGGGTATTCATCTTTTCTGATGGCTGAGTAATATTCCATTGTATATATGGACCACATCTTCTTTATCCATTCATCTGTTGAAGGGCATCTAGGCTCTTTCCACAGTTTGGCTATTGCGAACATTGCTGCTATGAACATTGGGATGCATAGGGCCCTTCTTTTCACATCTGTGTCTTTGGGGTAAATACCCAGTAGTGCAATTGCTGGGTCATAGGGTAGCTCTATTTTTAATTTTTTGAGGCACCTCCACACTGTTTTCCAAAGTGGCTGTACCAACTTGCATTCCCACCAACAGTGTAAAGAGGGTTCCCCTTTCTCCACAACCTCTCCAACATTTGTTGTTTCTTGCCTTGTCAATTTTTGCCATTCTAATTGGTGTAAGGTGGTATCTCAATGTGGTTTTGATTTGAATTTCCCTGATGGCTAATGATGATGAACATTTTTTCATGTGTCTGTTAGCCATTTGTATGTCTTCTTTGGAGAAGTGTCTGTTCATGTCTTCTCCCATTTATTGACTTGATTATTTGTTTTTTGGGTGTTGAGTACTGGTTTTTAAACTGTGCCCCAAAACCCAAGATTCTCACCCTCACCCCCACCCCCAAGAATGCATAAAAGTGCCAGGCACAACCCCAGACTCAACAAGACCCGCTCCTCCTCCTGTGTAGTTTATTGCCCATACTACTGAGCAAGACTTCATTTGTACTGAGGGATCCCTGGCTAAAAAGTTTTTTAAATGACACACTCAGGAAATCCCCAGAAAAGTCAGTGAGTTCCTAGGGCCACCTTAGAAGTTGAACAACATCGAAGGGAGTTCTGAAATAGTGGAGACACAATGCAAGGAAAAGATCTTTACTTCAAGCAAATTGAAAAATCCAGAGGTAGAGTATGCCTCAACAAATATTACATGAAGTCTGTTAGGAGAAGGTACATCTAGACATTTACATTTCTTTGGTTTTTGCTTTAGATTCTAACTCCCCTTAAATATACTGATACACTAGGACATTACTTACTTTAATAGAAAACATGTAGCTGCCTGAAATAAGTGCTTTATTTCCCTTTTAAACACAGCCAGGGGAAGTCTAGGCCATATCCCAGAATACCACAGCTCTGCAGGTGGCAGAATGCCTGACTTTCAAGGAGAGTTCCCTAACCTGACTGTAAACTCTCTGAGGAAAAGTCTGATCCACTGTTTGATTTTACACACAGCAGACATGTGGGCATACTTAGTCTTCAGTTAGGGGGAAATAAAGTACGTCTGAATCCCTGGCATCACAAAAACAAGAAAAATAAGTGATGATACATGCAAGGCCATTCTAACATCAGGGCCTCAGTTTTCCATCTCCTTTCTCAAGATTCAGTTTCATGCAAATCCAGAGGATGCCACTACCTTAGGGAAGACTTAACAATAACTAAGTTTGCTCATTTGGTATGGAAGAAGTAAAGTTTATCTTCTTCAGTAGGTAAGATGAAAGTATGAAAGTAAAGAACTGCATTAGACACATTTTATTCCAGAAAAAAAAAAAAAAGGATAATCCTAAAGAGAAATGTACTTTAAAGGGGGAACATTTGTTTCATTATTCTAAGAAATAATTCCTAAATCTTTATACCCTTGCAAGCTCAATACAGAAGTGTCTGTTCCTTGTCCAGATGCCAAGTCTTATGTCTTCTACAGGAGGCCTTCTCAAACTTTAATGTATACACAAATCCTCTGAGAATCTGTTAAATGCAGATTTGATTAAGTACTCTGGCATTGGTCAAGACTCTCCATTTAACAACCTCTCTAGCAATGCTGATGTTGCCAATCCCCAGACCCTACCTTAAGAAACAAGGTAAGATAGCATCCTATGGGATTCATTATCAGCCAAACCCATCTGCTCTATTCATTTTAAGACAAATAATTTTATGGGCACAAATCTGCTGAAGGAGAAACTTAAACCACCTAAGACTAACATTATGTTAGCATAAAAGATTTAAGTTCTGTCTGGTTCAACTATCAATTGGTGACGTATCACCATAATCATACCACAATGAACATACTGTAAAGTATCTTAAAGTATGGTTCTTTCAGAAACAGACAACTCTCATACAAATAAACAGAAACTATAAAATACTTTCCTTAACAACAATAAATTCAAGAAAGGGTATTCATTAGTTCTTTATTAACTGTGACTGCTAATCCCAAGCATTCTGTAAAACAGAATGTTAACTGAGGGGATACATAACGTATACACAATGATATACATTACTTACACAACAATTCTCTTAGCACTTCAATCAGGATATCATAAACTCTGAGGATTCTTATGTCTAACCTTATTCTTATTCTTATGTCTAACCAAACTACTAGAGAAAGATACAAAAATATTATATGTAGATGGATTTACTGTAACTTGGTTTTTAAAAATGAAAAATCAAGTAAAAAATAGAGAATCCTGTTCCAAATTAAGCTAAATATTCCTAAGGGCTTGCAACACCTGCAAAAATCAGAATTACTTCATAAATATTCAAGAATTAGTTCATAGATTTCACATACTGAAAGGCAAATTTAAGGATGATGAAGTAATATTTAAGCATTTTTATGAAGTGTAGATAAATTGAGTGAAAGACAAACTCTGGTATTTTGGCCATAATAATTTCACAGAACTCATTTCTACAGAAATGAAATCTTAGAAAGGTTAAAAAGCACACAATGACTGTTACTATATAGAGCTACTATTATGCTCTTACACTCCATAAATACTTAAAAGTACATGCACCACCTATGGTGATTAACATAACATAATAAAATTTTTAAAAAAATTTTTTAAAAAGTACATGCACCACATAGGTACACATGCACCTATTGTCCTAGACTGACACATGCTATTTGCATTACTTTTTTGATAAAATTTTTGTGACTAAAAAGCAATTGTATAAACTGTATAGTTACCCTTATAATAAACACATGTATATAAAGTTAGGGCACGTACTGCATGGAGCACTGGGTGTTATACGAAAACAATGAATCATGGATCACTACATCAAAAACTAATGATGTTATGTATGGTGATTAACATAACAATAAAAAAATTTTTAAAAAGAGGAAAAAACTAATGTTTTTTTTTGTACTGTATGGTGATTAACATAACATAATAAAATAAAATTTAAAAAAGAAAATAATAAATAACTAAAGTTTGCACAGAGATTGCATGTGTTATGGAAAACACTGAAATAAAACTTTCTTCAAGTCACCAATAAATTAGTAATCATGTTGGGCTTAATGTCAAAAGTTTTTATTTTTCTCTGCTCCAAACTGGAGAGGGCTATTACACAATTATTGTAAAATTAAATTAAGTAACACATTACTACTTTAAAAGGAATAAATCCCTTAAAACAAAGTTTAGGTACTTCCCACGAGAAAATTATGCTTCTAATCTGTGTTCTAACTCTGAAATCTGCCAAGAGACATCATCTATCAGTTACTTATCTCATTAACCTGGTCTTTCTTCTACACAGAATTACTCAAATATCAAAGAGTTAAAATGCAAAAATAGTATCAAATAGATAAGTGTATCCTGAAACTAGTATATGGTGGAATTAACTTAATACAATAATAAAGACAAATACATTTTTGTAAAAGATCCCAAACCTTCATAATACACCTTTGTTAGGTTTATGAGCATGATTATAACTGGCATGAGTTTTCACTTGAGAAAAGCATATGACTTATGCCCTCCATGACAGTACATTA